TTATTTTAGAAAATCAGAGACCAAGAACCGACATTTCATCTTGAAAGGCAAGTTATAGTAATAACTATAGAATAGAGGACAACAGGAGTTAACTTTTGTATTTTCTGAATCCCGACAGGATGATTTCAGCTGTCACTGAAATCCAGGCTTTGTCGATCCATCCAATGACTTCCAGGAACGTTGCATGGTGCACCCTCCCGGTTACCATGAAGCTGTGTTCTCCATCCCTGCTTTCTGCCAATCCCTCACAATTTTCTCACTCATTCCAAACTTTCTTTCTGCTGTTCGATTACCGTTTTTGGGTGAATATTTCACTACTTGCATCAGAACAGCAGATTTTTCTGCAGGAGGCATGCACAGTAGAGGGTGAAGTAACAGTGGTATAGGAGTAATAGGAGTACTGACACTGACAGACAAGCGTAGAGCACCCTCTCATGGCTGTCAGTGTGAACATTACATTTAAATGATATTTAAATTACATTGCAGTACAGTCAAAGGACCACCAAAAACATGAAAAAAGTGCGATTTATAGTCTGACTGGATTCATTTTTTATTTGGTGGTGTTCAGATTACAGTTACTTTTGTAAAATCAAAGGAGTACATGGCGGCACTTGATCACTCAGTTTAGGTGGTGATTTTTCCTTCTTTGATCTATGATCTCTGATGCTGTTACTTCATCAAAAACACACCTGGAGCTGTATTTTGTTTCATTCACACTTGTTTGAGTAACCCTTTATTATTAGTCTGTCTACATCTCCAAAGCTCAAAATGCTCAAGAAGAAGTACTTCTAAAGTTAAGTTACTTTTTAAATTTAGTTTACCTTCAGACTGAAATTATCAGAATTATTCTTGTGTAGGTGTATGGAGTTTAAAAGCACATTGAAGCACATGACACCTCAAAGTGGAACAGAGAGCTTTCCGAAATGAAACAAAACACAACTCCAGGTATGTTTGTGATGAGGAAACAACATTATAATATAAATCAGAAAATAGTGTAATATACGCTCTTTAACCCCAACAAAAATGCAGTGGAGCCGCAAAGTTTCCTTTTAGGCCACAAAACTAGTCTGACCTTCTGACAGAATTGGAAACTGAGACATTTGAAATATGAATAATAAGTCAAGATAATGGTTTCTCATAAATGGTGTCATAAAACTCCCCCGTGTTAAATTCCATGATCATTAAAGATAGTCAAAAGTTGTAACATTATAATTTATTTTAATCAGAAATAAGCCAAATATCTCTTGTTTTGGTTCCAGTGAAATTAGGAGTGTGCGTTTGTGTTTGAGGATTACCAAATCTGTATTACATAAGAGGGGATTGAGTGAGCCAATCAGGTCGCGGTGCTGGCAATGACATCATGAGTGTAAGCAGATGTGAAAACACAGCTGGATGGAGGTCGGACAAAACCAGGAGCAGATGTGGGTTACACAAACTCACAACTGGGACAAGAGCAGAGACTCAAAACAGAGCCGTACTGAGCCATGCTAATGATATTTAAGTCTCTGTATTACGCACCGTTCAGGCTCATCTCTTGATACTTTTTCTATGATAATATTATTTTGGCTTTAATACTTGTCTTGTATTTGCATATTTCCATTCAGTAGTTTATTTAGGCTACGTTCAGATTGCAGCCTGAAGTGACGCAAATTCGATTTTTTCGCCCCTATGCTCCTCTATCTGAGTTTTTAATGCGACCCAAGCCACTTGGACATGTGGTCCTAAAACCGATACATATCCAATCTTTTGACATGCGACTTCAGTCTGAACGGACAGATCGCACTCATCAGACCTACATGTCTGACTCAGAGTCTCGTAAATGAAGGGAAGGTGAGGTTGGCGAGTTAATTCATATTTGGGTATGTTGGGTATTCAGGCCAACTTGGAGGAGACTTATCGGAACCTGGCGTTTTTGAAATGATTGCCAAAGAAATGGATAAGCGCGGCTACTGGCAGTTCTGGCTCCAACATCAACGAACAATAAAGAGCCTGCGAAACAAATACAAGGAGGCTAAAGACTCAAACAAACAAAGCGACCGTGGACATGTAACATGTCCATTTAATGAAGAACTGGACCGTATTGCAAGACAAGCTTTTAGGCTGCTTCCGTAAACACTGAGCACACTCGCTTTGTGTCACATCGTTGTGTCCTCTGATGTGCATGCAGGACACTTTTGGGGTGTTTAACTTTACACTGGAGATCACATACAAGTTGCATGTAATTGGAAATGTGAATGACCTCGGATTTCACAAAACAATAATGCAGAATTAAGCATCAAGCCCTCCAGTCTGAACATAACCTTAGTTGTTTTTATTATTTAAAGATTCTATATTACACAAAATTGACTCTTGTGAGCTTTAAGCCATGTTAGAATGCCATTATCTCCTCAAAAACATACTTGGAGTTGTGTTTGGTTTCATTCACACATCCATTATTATTAGTCTGTCTACATCTCCAAAGCTTAAATTGCACTGTTCCACCGTGTAATGTAATAAAGTGGTAGGTCTAAAGTTTTTTCAGGGCTGAAATAATGATGGCCTGATTGTAGTGAAGGTGTATGGAGTTTAAAAACACAGTGGAGCACTTCCTGTTTTACCACGTGACATCACAATGTGGAACAGAGTGTTTACTGTTTGAGAGAAGACCTCAACCTAAATGTTGCAGTGTTTTGGTGTTATAACTCAAACGTGTGAATGAAACAACATCGCCCGAGTTTTCTTTTGATGAGAAAACACGATTATAATGGTTAAGATATCAACTTACAAAAACTTCAAAAATATTTAGTCAGAATATGTGTTGTTTTAGTTCATGTACTGCTAAAGAAAATGAGTTTGCCAGACTTTTTGAATCACGTCTTTTCAAATTGGCTGGCAAGATAATATAAAACCTCTGCACAATTTAACAGCTATTCAAAAAGACAATAGTGCCTTTAGCCGGAAAATCAAATCGACGTTATTTCATTTCAGCGTGACAGGGAGAGAATTATAGAGTTAAAGCAGAGTTAGGCTAAATGCAAAAAGCACTAGCATTATAAAAGTGACAACAGGAAAATGGGTCTGAATTCCAGTGCAAAGGAAAGCTGTCAGCACACATACCCTCCTCTCAGCACTAATCACAGGGTTCTGCTCCGTAATGGACTTTTGCATTATGTGCTGGCCCATATTTTCATTAAGTATATGTTTTTATAGATTAGCAGCTGGCATCTAGTATTTAGCATATATACATTCAGTTCTTACATGTCGCTCTTATTGCTGAGAGTCATGTTATTGTGTACATTTCTAAGCTGGATGCCCTTCCTATATCCATCAGGCAAACGCATTGACACAGTTGGGCAGTGTCAGATTTCACTTTATCCAAATATCAGAGCAACTCCACAATCAATATTTTACCTGTCCCCATATGTAGTTACAAAACTTCAAAAATATTTACTGTATTTTTCGGACTATAAGTCGCATTTTTTTCATGGTTTGGGCAGTCCTGCAACTTATACTCCAGTGCGATTTATATATTAAAATTTTCAGACTGACAGCCGCGTGAGGGCGCTCTAGGCTTTTGTGTCAATATCTAGTACTTTTACTCCTGCACCACTGTCACTTCGCACTCTACTGCGCATGCCTCCTGTAGAAATAGTCGCCGTGTCGCTGCATATAGTGAAATATTCAGCTAAAAACAGTAATCGTGCAGCAGAAAGAAAGTTTGGACTGAGCAAGAAACATGTGATTGAGTGGCGGAAAGCGATGATGGAGAACACAGCTTCACGGCAACCGGGAGGGTGTGCCATGTAACTTTCCTGGGAGTCACTGGATGAATCGACAAAGCCTGAACTTCAGTGACAATGGAAACCATCCTGTCGGGATTCAGAAAGGCTGGAATAATTCTAACTGGAACTGATGCTGAGAATGTGTGTTGTTTTAGTTCATGTATTGCTCAAGAAAATTAGTTTGCCAGACTTTCTGAATCGCGTCTTTTCAAATTGGTTGGCAAGATAATATAAAACCTCAACACTTCAAGAAAGTTCTACTACAAGCACTACTACAACTGCAGTTATAACTACTTCCACTACTAGTAAATGTGGCCAGACCTCCTTGTCAAAGCCTGTTCTTGTCAAATCTCAGAAGATAGACAGGGCTGGATCTGGTTAGTGCTTGGATGGGAGACTGCGGTGAATTTCAGTTGCCACAGTGGGGCGCTAGAGTCAGAATTGCAGTTTTGTCCTTAGGCAAGACATGTCAATCAAATCCACTAGTGTTGGTGGAGGTTGGAGGGGATTAGATTGGCAGGCTGGTTTCTGTCAGTTTGCTCCAGGGCAGCTGTGGCTACGACAAAAACTTTATATAAAACTAATGCATTATTGTTATTGCTACTCCTATTTCCACTACTACTACTCCTATTTCCACTACTACTACTCCTATTTCTACTACTACTCCTACTCCTCCTACTCCTCCTACTCCCACTACTACCAATACCACTACCACTATTACTACCACCACCATCTCTACTACGACAAGCATCACTACTACCACTACTACTACCACCACCACCACCTTCTCTACTACTACTACTACCACCATCACTACTATCACTACTACTACTACTACTACTAATACCATCACTACCATCTCTACTACCACTACTACCATCACCACCACTACCATCTCTACTACTATTACCATCTCTACTACTACCACCACCACTACTACTACTATTACCATCACTACCATCTCTACTACCACTACTACTACTACCACTAGCATCACTACCATCTCTACTACTACCAGTAGTACTACCATCACTACTACTACTAGTAGTACTACCATCACTACTACTATTACTACTACTACCACTACTACCACTATCATCAACTGACACTGTACCTGTACCACTACTACCACTATTACTCCTACTTTGACTACTTCAACTACAATCATTAGTGCTACCAACAGACACAATGCCTTTACTACTACTATTACTATAGTAGTAGCACTATTTCATCACTCACCCCATAGTCTTCTCTCCCGGACATTTCTCCAGAATCCGTCCCAGGCTCTGTTTGTGGAGTCTTTGAAGTGGTCACTGAACGACCTCCTCAGTGGCATCTTCATTGTTCCTGTTTGGTTCATAGTTTTCTCAAAATCCAAATCCTTCTTGTGTTCACTGTGACATTCCTGTAGTGGTGTGGTCCTGGAAGAGAAGGGGCTTTCTGGAGGTTTCTCTGCCCCACAGGAGAGTCTGAGTTTGGGCCAGAGCTTTGCAGGACGGGGCTGGACTCTGGAGGAGGAGGAGAGAGGAGGAGTGTTGCTGTCACTCCAAAGGAATTTGCGTTGGGCTAGTTTCTCGATTTCAAAATATTTCTGACTGCTGCCAATAATTTTGTTTTCAAATTTAAACCACAACAGACCAAGAAAATGCACTTTATCACAACAAAACAGTAAATCTAGACAAGTTAAAATGACGTGAATTCAGGATATTAAAGGCCCTGTACCTGATTGTTCCCATCTGTTTGCAGTAAATATGTCTTGCCCCAGTACAGTTAGATTGTATAAGCAGCTCTTGAGGTTAAAATATGCACTCCTGAGGATAAATATGTACGTGGTCTGCATCTATTCAGGGACTGCGTGTTAGCATGCTAGTTGTAAGCTTTAACGTCATGGCAAAACTCTGCTCTGGCCTCTGAAAACGTTTCCATTCTGAAGATGTTTGGAGCGATAAACAGAAGAGTGGTCCTTGTATTCTGGTGTTTAGCTGTAGGATGTGAGGGAGCCTCTGAGGAAGTAATTTGACTGAAAGCAGCAAAAATGACCGTTTTAAGTGAATAAGGACTCCTGGTACATTTAAGCTTCTCACGTCACCTTACATCATTGTTTCCCAAAGACTGGGTCGTGACCCTCAGGTGAGTCGCAAGAGTTTTCTTTGCGTCGCCTTGTCACGATCTGCATGTAGGTCTGCAATATACAGTTCTGACACATGAGAGATCGCACTCTGCAAAGACACTATGGATCCCTGACCTTATTGTCACTCTGGATAAGCATTTCATTAGAACATCCTGTCTTCATGCTTATTCCTTTCACTACTACATATGTGTGAACCGGGATTTTCTGCGCTCACAAAAATGAAGACAAAGTGAAGAAACAGACTGAATGCTGCGTCTGATCTGCTGTTGCGCTCTCCTCCTGCTCCCCGGACTTGAACGAGCAACAAAAATGCAGACAGGCCCACCTATCTGAAATGTTGAAATTTTAAGACATGGTTTTGTATAATTTCTAATCTTTTTGTAATCGTTTTATTGACTATTTTGTTCCAATATTGCTGGTTCAATGAAATGTAGAAAAGAAAAAGAAATGGGCACATTTAATGTCCAATTAGGCGACTTATGGATCCCTTATATTTCTGGTTCAATTACTGTTTTTCATTATTTAAAACTTGAGTAATACTAATTGTTCAGAGAGACACAATCACTCAGTCAACAACAAAAAAATCCTCATTAAGTTTCAATAATGGTCAAATCCACCTTTATTTTGTGATTTATGAATAATGTCTATTGACTTGGGTCATGAAGGTTTGTGACTTTAAAAATGTGGGTCCCCAGAAAAAAAGTTTGGGAAACACTGCCTTATATTACATGTATTTGCAGATGTTTTATGAGTCATGAATTACATAAAGCACGTGGTTCATATCTGCATTCTCTAATCAGTGTGTCCCTCCTCTACTGCAGAGCAATCAAATAGATAATGCCTTAAACTTGTCCTGTGCCTCAGGTTTGGACAGACTCTCACAGTTTTGTATTATAATCATGATTCATTGACCTCACACTTGGGGCCAGTCCCATTTCTAATTTCTACCCCTACCCCTTCCCCTAGACTTTGCCCATTTCCCTGTGAAACTGAGCAACAACAACGCCATCAGTAGTCTCCGCCAGCTTTTACTTCTACAACTGTGGTGGTCTGTCTTGCGTGCCATCCATCTTGCCGGTGATTTGCAAGGCATTCAGGAAAAGTGCTCATACCACTCTGTTTGGAGTGTACCTCTGAAAATTCTTCATTTGGAAGGGTTTATAGCCCTACCACGTTCCCCTACCCCTCTGCCATACTGGTAACGGGGACACCCCTCCCTCTACACATGAACGCACAAAACGGAGGGGTAGGGGAAAGTGGTACGGCCAAGGGGTGTAATGGGATTCACCCTTGGTGGTCGTAAGTATTTCTGTATCCACAGCTGCCCAGACACAGATAGAAATGAGGCTGCCAATCTGCACCATCACCCCCTCTGACCACCACCATCAATCACTCTCTCTCACACATCCACATTGACAGACAAAGTGGGTGAGGTGTCTTGCTCAAGGACGCAATGACAAATGATATATATTGCACATTTTCACAACTTAAAATAATGTCTGTCTAGAAAATATACTTTTTTAATATACTTTTTTAGTCCTAATTCTCTGCGGGACATTAAAAACTGCTTGTCCACAGTTTTATCTATGATGCAACAAAACTGGCAAAATGCGAACAGAGCATTTTTGAGCGCTCAGAGAAGATAATTTTGGATTAATGAAGGAAAGTGTGAATTAAACTGTCGTAAAAAGTCCATTTGTGTCTTCTAAAATCTTTGTAAAACGTGTTATTTTCATGATGCTGCCATAACATCACTTTCTTATTACTAATGCGGTTTTCTCCCAACTTTCTCTTGATGTCAGTGAAGCGGCGTCTCCCTTCATCACAAATGTTCACAATCAGAAGGCCTTGTTCCTGGTCAGTGGAGACGACTCTGCGCGGCGCGGGAATCCAATCAGCAGACTTCATCAGAGCACACTTCCTTCTCTAATGGGATACTGCATTATCGGAGCAAAAGGAGACTATGGAGACCAGGGATTTACTGTGGGGAGAGTGCGCATTTATGTTTAAGAAAGAATAAGTAAGACAGGGTAAAAATGTAAAACTTGTAATGAAATTTATTGTAGCAACTTCACAGATGATAGAAAGGGTAATAAATGTATAATTGATGTGGTTAAAGTTGCTGTACCTGACTTTTGCTCTCTTAAAAACATTTTAAATAGTTTGCAGGGGTCCGAAGTTATTCCTCACTTACATTTTGCATTCCAAACTTAATATTTTATAAGTTTATAAGAGCTTTTCATATCATGCCATCACGGTAATGCTAACGACAACTAGCATGCCAACAGTGCACCTCTTGATTACCAGAACAATGCTTTCTTTCTTTTTTTGTGTAATTAGATGCAAATGTATTTTGATCTTAAGAGCTCCGTACACAATATTATCTGTACTGGGGCAAAACAAATACTCAAATACTGTACACGGGAAGAAACCTGGGTAAATCTAATTCAGGATCCAGGGGTGTAGAGGGCATTGTCTCCCGACTTGAGATATAAAAAAAAAGAACAAATATAAAATAGCTACGACTTAAATGTCAAACTGGAGCTCTTGGCAATGGTGAAAATAACCTGCATAGGCTCACGATATCTACAGTACTGTCCAAAAGTGACCTGCGACATGAGGGACCAGGACTAAACCCAGACTAAACCAGGACCAAACCAGGTCTAAACCAGGAGTAAGCAAGAACTGAAAGAGGACTGAGTGTCGGGACGGGCCTGGAGGTGACTGTCGGGTGAGCGCAGGAGAAAGGACCGGTGCAGAACTCCGCACTCCATGGGGCAAAGCGCAGCCATCGCCCGATCGCGCTTTGTGGACACCCTTGCTCTCTGGGCTTGGGGTTCCCTTTCTCACTCTCAAGTCCAAGAATAGTCCTGGTTTAGATCTGGTTTAGATCTGGTTTAGATCTGGTTCAGACCTGGTTCAGTCCTGGTTTAGTCCTGGTTTAGTCTTGGTGTAGTCTTGGTGTAGTCTTGGTGTGGTTTAGTCCTGGTTTAGACCTAGTTCAGTCCTGGTTCATGTGTTGTAGCCTATGATTTATGTCCTGTAGGTGATTTGAACGGCGTTGATGTTAATAACATGATTCTGCATTATTTTGGCGTCACGAATCACGTACCCCCACTTAAAAAATCCCCACTACACCACTGCCAGGATCATAAACTGAGGATCTGCATCTTTTATTGTCAATAAAATAAAATATAATAGATATAGTTCAATTAAATACTGTGCATCATTACAGAGAACTGAGTAAAAGACCAAAAAATGAACATGAATGAAAAAAAAAAAAAAAAGAGACCACACTCCCTTTTGAACTTGTAGGCACATTTGTCATATTTGTTTAGATTTTCTTCTCCACCCATGCAATTTTATTATCACTCTTATTCCTATGCAACTAAAGCTCCAACAGGGGGCGCTGCTGGGGCTGTATTCACTTTGCCCTCAGACTAATTGACTTTGTTGTGTCTAACAGTTTGAGACTGGAGCAGGACAGTGCAGGACTTAAGCTCCCCAGATCAATACTAAACTCATTCTACCTCTCCATCACATTATCAGGACATCCAACCGTCAACGACAACCGGACATCTCAACACCGCGGTGGGAGGTAACCATGGCAACAAATAAAATGAGCAGACCAATGTGTTCAAGGACAAATCATCATTGCAAGAGGATCAATTCACAAATTTTGATGTTAAAATTTAAAAAGTTGCAGCACGGTTGGTTGGAGTTGATGGACCACCTATATTCACGCTTACGTCACAAATCAGGAAAACGTTTGGAAACATGAGATTACAACTTCCCGTGTAGTTAACGACCGACTGTGATAAAACCCCTTGAAGTAAATGTCAATGAGCTGTAAAATGAAGACTGCATACGTATGTCCTGTTTGTAAAGATCTTGAATTTTGCACCCTCATCTCTTCTAAACACATGTAACCAGTGCACTTGGAGTTGTGTGTCTGTGGGGAAATGATGAAAACTGAGGTATGGTTGTAATTGTTGATTAGCCAAACATAATGGAACGCTACAATGACATGTAGATGAAGAAAACTGGACCGTTTTCTCATTTTCCCTAGTTTCTCTCAGTTACTACTGCGCCAGAAATTGTCTTTGCGTGTTTCCGAACGTCGTCCGGGTTTGTGACGTAAGCGTGAATAGATGTTATTTGAGCAAGAAGGTACTGATTATGATTCCTAGACTTTGACAGATCCTTTTTATGTGGAATTTGTGTTTTCTTACTTTCTTTCAATGTATAGGTTTTGTTTAATCACTCCAATTTCTCAGAGAATTTAACCCCAAAACTTGTACAACTATTTTTCAGTTTGTTAATCCTGAACAAGATCTTGGTTCAGTGGAGAAGGGTTACTGCATGATGGTTACATTA